TCTCGCTCACTCACTCTCGCTCACTCACTCTCGCTCACTCACTCTCTCTCGCTCGCTCCCTCACTCACTCACTCACTCACACTCACTCACACTCACTCACTCACTCCCTCGCTCCCTCACTCACTCACTCACTCACTCACTCACTCACACCCTCACACTCTTACTCTCACTCACACTCACTGACACTCACACTCACACTCACCACCACTGCCACCATCTCCACCTTCATCACCACCATCACCTCTCTGGACCCCAATGCGTCTAGATCTCTAGACCTTCTGCTTATAGACCTCACACACACACACGCACACTGTTTGGGGTCTCTTGCCGGAATGCTTTTTAAAATAAGGATCCCTGTAACATTGTAGCCTTAGGCTTGGGCAATGCATGGCACTGCGAAACTACCATTAACAACCCTCTATATTATACACATTATACCATAACAATTATATATATATAGTTATATACATATACTATTGCTCGACCCGGAATCTTCATGGCTTCAACCTGGCCCAGCTGGAAAATCACCCAAAGCACCTGCAGCACACCAGTCGCACACCATCCACTTCCACTGCATGGAGGAAGGAGTAGGCATGTCCGTTCACCAGGCCGTTCCTTCGCGACATCGACCGTTCTTTTGCGGCAGTCGGTCGGCGACTCCGACGGTGCTACTCGGTCCGACAGTGGGTCAAATCGGGAGCATCCGACCACTTGGTGGGAAGAAAAGAATCTCTTTTTGGAGTTGGATTCGATGCAGCTGCACCTAACATCAAGGAAGATCACCTAAGAAGTGGTTTTCAGAGTTCATCCCGAAGAAGGGTGATGAGGACCGATGACCCGAAGGCCCGATGTGGGTGGTTTCCCACATCAGAGACCAACCTGAAATACCTCTGCCACACCATCGATGGACTGACATGCCCGGTTTTGATTGTCTTTCAGGGAGTCAATGAGGTGACATCATCTTCCAGTCCCATGGACTGTTTGGGTATCTGGGTAAGGGAACCTTTGGAGATGACATAGACTGCTGAATACCCCCCCAACATCGGACAGTCCAGCATGCGTCTACACCCCCGGACGGGGTCAACAGCCTGGTGAACAGTCTCCACAGGCGGGGAATGCAGTTTTCTTCGATTGACACGTCTGATGTTGAAGGTCTGCTCCAGTGATTGACGCATGGTGAGGTCCAAGATTCTGCAATCTGCCCATGGTCTCCTTCACCTCTTGTTGATCATAGGAGACAAAGAAATGAGTTCCCACCTGAGCAGGGCCCAGACCCTAAAGCCGCGGAGGAGAATGCTTCACAGATTGACCTTTGCTGAAGAACCACACCTGAAAATAGACACCTCTGAAGCGATTTCCTCTAATGAATTGAATTCGTTGCTAAACCTCCAATCCGCGAGGCGAACGGTGGAGGGCCATCAGTTGGAGAGCCGTTCCAGTTCCTTCCTTCGCTTCAGGGTCGAAACACATGTCAAGTTCCTTCCTTCGTTCCTTCGCTTCGGTTTGATCTCTATCCCAGCGGATCCAGCGGATCCCAGTATAATGTCAATTAGTAGGTGGCCAGTGCTACAAACGACACAAACCCCAAACCCTGCTACTGGTCCCTGGCATCCACTTCCTCGGGACGTACCGAAGCTTTCGACCGCCTGACAAGTATACGTTCAACAAGAAAGGTATACGTTCAACAGTAGATTAGAGATGCATAGAAATGCTATGAAATGAGAGTTTTATACTGCTGCTTGGTATACTGTACCTCAGTGTACACGAAAAAGGAATAACCCAATCATCCACAGCTGGACTCCAGGTGATTCCGCTGATTCCACAGCCCTTTTTGGGAAAAGGACAGGCCACTTCTTCCCTCACTTCGCCGCTCCTCTCGGCTTAGAGCAGCCTCTCCCTTCCCAGCTGGTCTTCGTGGCTCGGAACGAATCCCGGGCACCGTGCTACGAGACGTCCGTTCCGTGCTACGTTGCGTGGCTGCATGACTTCGGGAGTCGATTCGTCCCTTCTGTCATGGGGTGGACGTTTTTTCTTTTTTCCTTTTCGGACCAAATGCGAGAGATTCGCCCACCTGAGCGTGAGCCGATAGCGGAGGGTCTGATGTATTTTGACCCAGGTACCAAGTAGTTCTTCCGGTCATATTCCAGCACTCGCTCCCACATGCCATCCTTGTCAGTCGTCTCCGTCGATTTCTGAAAGCCTCACTTCATCAGTGAGGATACCAATAACAATCCAAAAAACAAGCCAAAGGCACGTAAAGTCATCTCCCACATAGACAACCGCCTTTGAAGCGGACAACCTCCCAGAAAAGCCTTTCCCTCAAATATAACCCTTCATTGCTAGGTCTCGTAAGATTCAAAAAACAAACACAATTCTTCCCTACACAATGAGAAATAGCAAGCAAGCCAGCCAGCGAGCGAGCGAGTGAGCGAGCGAGCAAGCACGCACACACGCACGCACGCTCTATGAAACATGTATGAAATTGGTGAGATGGATTTCAAGATATCCATATGACATAGCAACACAAACAAGTTGTTCCTTGTAAAGTGACCTGTGAGGGATTTGAAGAGTCTGGAAACTGACAAACTGCAGTGCCTATAAAATGACACTATCACTACTACAGGAAAAACATGTCCAAAAGTTTTGCAAAGCACACTAAGAATTTAGAACTCATAATGTGACACACACACACACAGGTCATGCAAGGGGGTCAAAAGAATGTGTTTAGGGAAATGTCACAAAGCATGTCTTTAGGGAAACGGTTTAGCAGTGGAAAATGGTTTAGCAGTTCTTTCAAAAGGCAGCTGCGGCAAGCATGTTTCATGTGGCGGTGTGGTGGCTGAATGTTCCTGCAATCGCAGGGGGATTGGAAGCTACACAGGGGGGGTCCTATAGCCTATAGGTCTTCCACTCATTTCTGAGACTTTGACCCCAAACGTCTCCAGTGCGCGAGCGCAACTGTCTCAGTTCAAAACTGTCTCCAGCTCAGGGCGGCACCCACACCCCAGCGGATGGCATCCGTAGAGGTGCAAACACCGTAGAGGCCCCAAACAAGGTCATCCACGCAACGCGCAAGCTTCCTCGTTGGGGGCTGCGAGAAATGAGGTGGAAAGCAAGCTGGAGTCAACAAAAGGAAGTTGCAAACATGACTCAGGTCTTAATCAACAAAAATATAGTGTTTTTTTTTTAAACATCTCTTGTACTGGCCAAAAAGGACCACGAATCTAACTGGAGTGACCTGCCTTGCCGTGCCAAATGGCCTCCACCCTATCCACGTATTGTCCACCTCTCACACGCCCCACTGTGCGTTGACCGAGCTTCTTCCCGCGCCAACGGACGGACACCCATCCCTCATCCGGGCCATCCCCCTCCAACTTCTTGATGCAAATGCGTTTGCCGATCCTCAGTTGGCACACCCTGGAAAAAGAACATGAAACGCATGATGCTCAAAAGGACATCTGAGCGCATCTGACTGGCCTGGGGGCTTGGGGCCCAAAAAGACCCACAGAACTCAAAGCTATGGTAATGCAATTAGTAATGCATCTCATGTTGAATCTGGTTTACACTCTGACTCACGTCCCTCATGTTCCATGGAAGTGGATGGCCTGACCCCTTGTGTGTCCGATGCTCCTCCACACAGGGTGGGTGGACAGCCCACTTCCATGTGGGCAATGGACTGAGACCTCCATATTGGTTAACATAACACAGGTGCAACGAGTTCATATTGAGAACCAACGCCCTCCAGCAGGTCACCTTCCTCTTGAGGATTGTTGGATACTTTGCTACCGGTGATAGCTGGGGGTTGTTGCAGGAATCCATGCCCAGTATCAGTCTAAGCTGATAAGCTGTAAAATAGAGATCCTCTTGTTGTCTTACCTCCACCCAGTAGCAGACCAACATACTCCAACTACTTTTCCTACCATGCTCCTATTCCCTCAAACACGACACGAACAAATCTTCGCCTCATCCTGGAGTTGAGCCAACAAAAACCACCAGAACATCAACCAAAAACCAGAGTGTTCAAGGCTGAATGCACCATGTTCACGTGAACCTGCCCTCTCTCCGCACATCGAAAGCCCCCACGGTCGACGTGGTGGAACAAATCCACCGCCCACTTCGATTCCAACCACTTCGAGACTCCGATTCACCTCTTCGAACTTGGCACCCTTCAACAACCTGGGCGTCGGTCCACCGTTCGTGCCGGTGTCGACCGTCCGACCTGACGTGCAGAGTCACAAGCAGCGCAGTCCCTAAACTGGGGTCTTCGGTCTTCGGTCTGCGCGAGTGCATGGAACATGTCATCAGCGGAAAAAAGAAGCGAACGAACTGCCTAGAAGCCGTTTGGTAACTTCTATACCTTTGGGTCATGGCTGCAGGATATGCACCAGATCAGCTGGAACAAGCACAGGCAGGGGCAGGGGGCAACCATGTTGGATGCGCACCACTTGTTCCACCATCAAATGTCGAACCCCAGACACTCCACATATGGAATATATTTGCCTACATTGACCCCCAGAACCACCCCAATGTAGGCATATATGGCATACATGGAGTGTCTGGGAACCATCTTGAACCAATTCGTCGAATTCGACGAATCTTTGTGAACTATGAGCAACAAGGCTTCGGACAGCCAAATGCTCCGCAGATTCTCCAAGTTTAGGGAACAACACAGCTGAGTTGAGGAGCAATCACAAGTCAGAGTTGATGGCCAAAGGGAAGCAGCAGGAGCAGGGGAAACCCACAAAGTTCAGCTACATTTACATAAGGAAGCCATGGAAAGCCCCAAAACAGAAAAGTCTCGGTGGACGTGGTGAGTCTTTTTTCGTTCATGTCTACCCCATACCGACCATTGTTCTCTGCTTGGAGAAACAAGAACCCGCGAGTCCCCCTATGAAATCGCTGCAAACAATTCGAGCACTCATAAACCTAGTGACTTAGTGGTTCATCAATGACTCAAGAGGTAATGTCAAAAGCATACGTGGCACTTGGGACGGCCAAGGCAAGGCCAATCTCTAACACGACAAGAACAAAAAGTACAAAAAAACACAAATGATTCCAACACCAGTCCAATGCAACATAAACAACACATTTACATGCACTGAACCTAGTGGTCATCTATCTTTCACTGCTGATGGCTACCCTGAACCTTGTGGCACAAGCGGAAAAGAACTTTTATGACGGTTCTTGGGAACATGACCCGAGAAACATGACCAGACCTGCTCCTAGAAACACCCAGAACTCGACACGACACTCGCGGACACCGAACCTAGAAAGGATGGACGGACGACGGTCGCGTAACTCAGGGTTTTGGGGGTCACGGACGGTCGCGTCATCCGCCCGTTAACACCCGGGCTCACACCATCCTGGAGCGATACGAGACGAGCGTGGAGCGATACAGTATGAGGGAGATCTCCGACCCAACACACCAAGAGTATCATTGAATGTAACAAACCATCCAATACTTGAGTCTCACTACCATGCACCAACTAGAATCCATATACCTGCACCCGACTCCAACAAGATCACCAACTCTTCGACCTCAAACCCCTCGGTCCAGCAGGGTCCAACGGGTCTCAAACCTCCTCTCTGGAGGTACCCTGCTACAAACATCTCCCGGTACCTGCACATCATGATCATCATGTTTTCTTTTTCCAAAGGGTCACGCCAAACAGTCCCACGAGGGTTTTTGTTGAGGTCATAGAATGCAATAATGGTAGTCTAATAGTCTAATCCTCCCAAAAAAGCAGGGCCTCCCTAGCACTCCAATAGTCTGTCCTCCCGCAGAATGCCAACAGGTTGGACTGACACAGATGTTCGCCCGTCCAATTCCGAAACAAATTCGACGTCTCGCTGCAGCCGACGTCGCTGCCCCAGCGTCTCGCTGGACGTCTCTTCGGTCGCCGAGACGGCCAAGGTGTCAACCAGCACCTGGCGAGTCGAGACAAAGCCCTGCCTTCCGTGGTTGGGGAAAAGCATGGAAAAGAGGTTCCGACAAGGAAAATGGACACACATACTATGCAATTATATATATATATTATATTCTTATATTAGATCGAAGTAGATCTTCGAAACCAGCAAGAAGGCTTTACTTTTTGCCGCCGGGTACATATGTGGAATGTAAGCACAGGTACATAGAGGTTCCACTGGACCAACCACCACTGCTTCTGGGGCGACCACCAAATCGCTGGCCTCCCAAATAGGGTTCTGCTTCGTCCGGATCCAGGCCGAGATCGCCGTCTCCCCGGTCATCGCCATCCACGCGATCATCGAAAAGCCACCGGACAGCTGTCCCTGGAGGGCTCGGCGGAGGGCGGCGGATGCCAAGCAAGCTGAAGAGAAGAAACACAACCAGTGAAACCGTGGTTAAGAGCGGTGTTGCAGCGAAGTGAGTGAAGAGATGTGGTTGGCATACTGGCGGTTGTAATGAATGGACGTTTGCTTGGGATGTGTTCAATTTGTAGAAACCTCAAGGTGGTTTCGGAGACTCTTGCCTGCCTACGATCTTTCAGTCTGTGCCAAACTGCGCACGGGTTAATGTGGAGCTTGTTCCAAATGCCGGTGATTTCCGCTTGGGCCAGTGATTTCAGTGGTCTTGGTCCTTCACACGGCACCAGCACCACCGAACAAAGAACCAGCCCAAAACCAGAACCAGCAGGTAGTGGCAGAGGTGCTGCTTTTGCTGCTGGATTTTGCACTCGTCTTTTCATGGGTCCCTTCTCTTCTCACCCACCACCACGGTCGCTCTCTCTTGCCACTACTGGATCAGTCCTTTGTGACTTCTAGGGTTCAGGGAGTGGTTTAGTCGGAGTGGTCAACTCCCACACCAAGCCTTGGTGCACAAAGGTTGAATGGGCCTCGACTGTTTCTCTTTTGGTTTGTCCCGCTTCCTCTCTGTTCCAATTCGATCTGAAGATGCTTCCTTGTAAATCCACTGAAAAAGAAGAGGAAAAGGAATTGAATTTCAATTCTTCCTTACAGGGTCAAACCATCTATACTACCCGCCACTGTGTTCAATCATTGAGGTGCAGTCCTCTCCATCACCCAACCACTGGTGTTTTTCTACATGGTCTTTTTCTCCAACCCCGACCCAACCCCTTTGTCCAACCCCGACACGACCCCCAGACCCCGACCCGCATAGCATCCTCCAAGCGTCATACGAGCCGGTGAATTTGGCAAAGGCCTTTTCCAGCAACGACGCATAGACCTCGCTCTCGGTCCCATCCGGGATCGCAGCGTCGGTCTGGGGGGAGGAAACAGGAGACCGAGGAGCAGATGAGTGGAAAACAGTGGACCCTTTGAGAAGCGGTTTAGTTTATATACCTGGAACACTGGAACACCTCTGTTTTGATAGGAAAAAAAATATTTTGGGTGTTTGGTGGTCCAAAATAGAGGTCATTCAGGTCCAAATGGTTCCAGGTATATATATATATATATGGGGTATGATTAAGGTATGAATATGTTGAATATTCAGTCAGGTATATGAGGTATGGGGTTATGGTCAGCGAATGTGTACCCAAAGGATGGTAGATGATGATGGTAATATGTATATCTAATCATCTATAGGTGCACATGCGCATATAGATGCACACGTTTCAACCCTGCAAAACATGTACCTCCTCTACATATAGAAACCAGCCCTGCACAAAGCACCTGTTCTTCGCTCTTCTGACCCACCTGCCCCCCCCACACGTGGAGTCGGACCCGGCGCGGACCTTGTCGCCAGAGATGCCGGCAAAGAGGGTTCGGGCTCTGGGTTGGAAGCCGCTCCGAGGATGACAGGGGATGAAGTCATCGATGGTGACCAGCTGCCACTGGGCCTCAATCCTCAACGTCCAAAAACACATCTGCCAGTTGCTTTGAGATTGTCAATGCGTTCAGGAAAGGAGAACTACGAACGGGCCACAAGTTCACTGTGTTTGAAGGATTTTTAAGTCTCTGGTGAAAATACTTCTGCAAACCTCTCCAACGACCACAGTGCCGTCTCCAGAGGGTCACATGAGGAGGATCTCGGATCTGCACGAGGTACATGACAGGGGTGACTGGGTCTCCCCATGTTGACCAGAGGAAAGCACCAAAACGAGGCACCCCGGGAAACCATTCGTCAATTGATGCAGGTCTGAAAATGGGTTCAGAAAGCAATGCAAACTTCCAGAAACAACACAGAAACGCGTCATCCAGACACACTATAAACATCCCCAAACACATGACACTTGTTGAGCTCTGGTCAAGCAAAACACTTAGGACTCAGGACTGGATAAAAATTTCGCAGCGGTTGGAGAGAAACCTGGACTCACCGAGGCTCCAATTGTATAACCAAATCTCATATTTCCCCTCCGGCGACAGCTCTTTCGTCTTGAACCTCGCAAGGCGACAGCTGGCGAAACTAACACGTGAAGATGAAGATAGCACAAGGTTGGTGGGTTCACTTTCTTGGTTCAGTTGGTTTGGAGTTGGATTTGATTTGGGATGTACATATGTAACTGTAGGAAAACATGTCGTAGTGCTTTCACCCCCACCCACAGAATGGATGTCAGTTTTATTCAAACTTCGAAAACCTTGCAGCAAGGGACTTTTACAGAAACAGGTCGGTGTCCATAGTTTCGCCCATCTTGGTCTATCACAGATCAACAAGGTGACGTTGGACACATTATGTATATAAAATGATACACAAATAACTAACAAAATATATACATATATGTATGATATATAGACATATACATATACTATCACATATAGTATACATATGATATACAATATCATATGTTGTGATATACATAATATACATATGATATACATATGTACAAGTACGGAAGTCAAACATCTGTGCAATAGAAACTCCAAGAGCTATCCAATGACCAAAATCTCCTGCTTAAGGCTTTCAGGGAACAAATGATCCTTGATGAACCCCGGGAACTCTGCGATGCCCGCGATTGCTGCGATGAGCCAGCAATTGCCCAAACCTCCTGAGGGCGCAGCGCAGCTGCAGATCAATCACAAACCATTTATTGCAGCCATTCTGGTAGGGGGATTTTATTATATCAACAGGTCTAGATGATGGTTCAGAAGTGTTCATTTGAAGTGTTCTCTTTGTGTTTCAGCACCCACACCCACCTGTCTCAACGTCTGGGGGGCTCTTGAAAACCGCCGATGACTTCGGTCCACGACGCCGAGTTCGCCACCGACGTCGAACGGTTCTGGTGCTGTTCCAGATGCCAATGGGAGCGCAGTCGACTCGTGTTCCAGGATGAAAAGAGTGCAACGTTGAAACCGAAAAAACCGAAAACCGCAGAATCACCCCGCAACATAACAATCAACTGCCCGCTGCCCAGGCCCAATTACGCATCATATGTAGTCTGACGTCTTCACAATTCTTCACATGTCTTCACCCTAACTCTCCTTGACAAACATCCGATGGTTCGATCTCTTCAAAGAGCACGGTCGCGCGAGACAGCACCGGATCTCGGATGCTGATCCACCTGGGCGACAGCTCGGACTCCGGGGGGCGACTACACCTGGACCGATGCTAGGCTGAAGGGAGGGACGAGAGAGGCTGTGCGACTCCGAGTGAGCCAATGCGGGATTGGGGATGACCCAGTTGTTGAGACATCGGGCAAAATCATTCGGAGAGATTGGGTGGTTCTGGAACGCAGTGGTTTGGTGCTTTTGTTTGGTGCTTTCCAGGACCTACGGAATCCAACTGCTCCAACGGGTTAAAGGGTCGGGCAAAGGGATGCTCATAGTTGGAATCAAGTCGTCATTAGGATGCGCACCGGTCTCTCCATCATCGCATTTGAGGCAGGCCACTCACATTTAGTATCCCTCCCCAGGCTCTCTTGGCTGTGGGGGAACTCTTCATCATAGAAACCATCCTCCACAGTCACGGGCAAAGGAATGCCATTGGGATCCGCTGCCTTCACCATCACATTCCTGAAACGAAGCACTGAACATCAAGCATAGCTGAAGGACGCAAGCAATGACAAGAACCAACAACAAAGCAACTGCGCTGAAGTAGCGGAGACATATCAAACAAGTGTTAACTAACAAGTATGCCTCTGGAACAACAGCATAGCTGCTTGAATGCATGTAGACGTGGACATGTATTGCTGGCCGTCTGTTGCTTTCACAGCCGTCTGGCCGTCGACTCGACGCCTAAAGTCGACCCGACATCGCTGCTCCGAGCCTTTTGGATACAGTACAATAGAATGAACGATTTTGCAGACCTGCCATTGACAGAGCTACAAGTACCAAGGTTCTCGCTCTCTCTCTCTCTGTTCTTTCTTCAAATTCCATTATGTCAATGTGTGTCAATCATTGCCGCATCTTCTCCGCTCAAGTTCAGGGACGTTTGTCACCACAGAAGCTCAGTTGCCCCGACCCAGTTCAGCTTCTAGCTGGGCCAGTAAAAACAGCTTGTGCCAGCAACCAAATTTGAGTTTGGTCAATCCAGAAGTTGGACCTTAAACAGGAACTGCAAAAAGCACATGAAACACATATCCTTTTTCGGGCCTCTCCACCCCGGGAAGAAAAAATACAAGCAAGACAACGACATGGCAAGCCCTTGGGATCATGGTACATTGGCACGACTACACGTTCGGTTTCCGACCCGGAGGGATGTTTTTGTTACATTATTCTTGAGATTTCAGCATTTCGACTGCCATGGTGGCCATTTACAATGCCGACCAGGACACCACACACCTTTTTGATTGCGGGTCAATACCTGGAAATCACCGAATTGGCTTCAGTTTTGTCTGTATTCTTCATGTTCGGCGGTCACCTGGGGTTTTGGAGGGATCTGTTGACCTATAACACGCTGTCCTGCCGCGCCGCGGGTGTGCAGCATGATGTGCAGCTCAGGCTCTGCTGCCAGCCACAAACCTCTGGAGAATAGCATTCCGTCTCATCACTCTTCACCAACGCGCGCGTTTGGTCAGCGACTTCACGTGCAACCTGAGGGACCCAAGGGATTTTCTGGCTCGAGAACAGCTATAGCACCCTCCAGGCCCCCGAAAAGTGATCTGTTCCCTGGGTTTGATCACTTTATACATTTTATAACAGTTTCGTCTTTGGAGTCTCTGTCTGTGACCGTTGACAGGCCTGTTTGTGACCTCAAGCCAAGGGATGAAAAGGTCACTTTGAAGAACCAGGTATTCGATCTTCATCATTTTATAAGGGCACGAGTATGGGAAATCTACAATATCATTCAGGGCTGATGCTTTGGCATTCACACCAACTGGATAGAGTTCATGGAAAGTGGACTCATTTGTTTGGTTGAACATACATATAGTTCAAATGGTTGCGACAAATCAACTTGCTTCATCATGGTCATTGCCCTTGGAGAATCTTCCGAATCTGCACATCAGCGCATCATGGTCTACGTAGATGGTCGATCGACGTGATGTTGAATCTGCTTCCTCCGATCCCCTCGTCGGGTGACGACACGGTCGACCATGTTCCGATCACCTCCCTTCGTGTCGTTGCATCGGTCTCCCATCTTCCGACCGAGCGCCCTTTCAGGCCGACCGAGCCGATCTGCGCGTCAAAGAGCGATCCATTGCTTTCGGCTCAGATCGTAGAAGATCCATGTCCTGAGCGTAGTCTCGATCAGTGTCAAAGACCGAAGAGACCCGAGATCACACGATGCCCCGTTTTCAGGGGTGTGCCGCCCCTGACAAACCTGACCCTTCACATCTCTGGGGGCTGCATGGAGGTCCACAATAGTATACGAAGTATAGTGTAGGGTTGTCAGGTCGTCTAGTGCAGACGACCCCGAAGGCTTAGCTTGGTGCCGGTAGATCCATTGGAAAAAAGTCTTGGCACAGCAGCAACAATATTGGTACCAGAATTCCATGAAACAGTCTTCACTCATGAACATTTGGCTGTGGAAGTTCTGCGCAGTCCCATTGATCAGATACGTCCCACGAGCTCGGCTTTTCCACGGTGAGAGTCTGATCAGTCTCATTGAAATAGACCGGGCGATCGCTCTGGAGCTTCTCCGACTTGATGAAGTTCCCACTCACCATGGCCCACTGCGAATGCACCCAAACTCCTCAACGAGACCCCGGCCCGGAGGAGATGGTGAAAAGTGAGCAGTTTTCGGGAACCTGGTGTCGCAGAGTCATAGAGTCATATCCAGCCTAACTCGTGCAGGCTCACTGATGCTCAAAAAGCTTGAAGCCAACTGGTCGGCTAGCGGCTAGCCAGCAGCAATTGAAGAAAGTGACAGACTGCGAATCTCGCACAGGCCCTTGAGCCCTGCCTCGATCAAGACGGGAGGCTTCAGGGAGGGCTCAAGGGGCGAAGGTCTTGGGCTTCGGGGTCTTCCAGAAAAAAAACAAAACACACAAAAAAAAAACACAAGATCTCGTCCTTAACACAACACCTCCTGTTTCACACAGCGGTTAAGGCATGTTGCCAAGTCCACGAGAGAAGCCCTACAAAAGAAAGCGAACCGAGACTTCGGTATCGGGACCCCGGAACGAGGACCACATGGAACCCAATTCAACCCCTGGTTTCGAGCATTTTCCGAATACCAACCCAGTGGGTTTGGGGGTTCCATCTTAATCTGCAGGGGAGTACTTTCCAAAGTACAGACTGCGAACAACAATCTTTTCGGCAAGACCAAGGTGGGGCAGTTCTTTTAAACAAGGAGTACTGCCCGACTTAAAAAAGATCCTACCAAAAGATGCTTCGATAGCATCCGACCGGTCCTCATCCAAAACAAGTCACCAAAAACGGTCAACCTACAAAACCATTCCAGTTCTACACCCTTCTTCCTAGGTACCACAACCCAATCATTTCAGGTGATCCCAGTGGTTTATCAGAAAAGGGATGATGCTTTAGCTTTGCTCATTTTTGTTGTACTTCTCTGGATAACAGTCAAAAGAGATCCTCGCACCTCTTCCCAATGATGTGGATTCCTTCCATCTCTTCGTTTGAACCGTGTGCAACTCCGCCTTTCGTTTGAACGCGGGGCCGCGGTTCTTCGGGGAACGATTCCCAGGCTGCATGCTCCAGGTGTTTTCCGCTTCCCAGCCAGTGCGAACCGAAGATCCGAGGTGGGTAGACTCGGTCGTCGACCCAAAAATACACCTATAGTATTAGTAGCGTCCTTGTTCCTAGTAGTATGGCCAGGAGCCCCTGGTAGCGTCCTTGCTTTCTTGCTCCTAGTAGCGATGCCCTTTGCTCCTAGTAGCGTCCTTGTTCCTCCTAGGTGTAAGGTCCCAAAAAGGTGGTTTCCAGAAGGTCGCCACTGGAGGCCGTTCGACGGAAGAAAGCAACTGATGCATGTCAAGTTCACCCTTGATAAAGATCCCCAGAAAAGGGGAGAATCATACAAGTTTGCAAAGCGTCTTCACCTGGACTTGAGTTGTCTGCATTTGAAGGAATTAATGAGCAACCTTATATCATACAATACCCCGCGCCCCACCCCACGAGGAGATTTGCTTGATGTCAGGTGTGCAGGTCAAGATCATCATGCCTCACCTGCATTGAGAAAGTAAGCAAAAGACCATAGAAAATCTACTACGGTTAACGCCCCGAATTCATGGAGCGCAAACCTCTCCAATCTCTCTCTTTCTCTCTGCGTTAGCCATCAGGACTTCATCAATGAGTTTCCTCCCCTCCCGGTGTTTTCATGAAGCGACCCGATTGGTTTCAGCGGCCAGCGGCCCGTAGAGAACTACTATACGGCGTCGCAGACTGCGACCCGCAGACGGCGTCGTTCGGCTTTCGCGGCCCCTCTTTCTGTCGATGGATCGTCCGATCGTCCCCGAGTCGCCGTCCTGGTGGAGCTGAGGACTGCAACTCCTCCGGCGTCTTTTCGGACGGCAAAACAGCCTGCGTCCCGGCGGTGGTCTGGTGAAAGCGGTGGTCTGGTGAAAGCGGTGGGACGAGCCTGGTGTTTCAGTGAAAGTGGTGGTTTTGTCATGAAGATCTCAGTGGGGGAATGGCACTCAATGTCAAGTCTTGGGCTTGGCCTATGGCCTAAATACGACACTGCTAGGCTCTACTGCTAGGCTGCTACAACCCTTTCATTGGAATTGGTTTGCCTTCGCCGGGATTGACTGCCATGGCATCTGAAATAGCCTCCCAAGAACCACATGGACACCTGTGAATGTACAGAAGGTCTGTAGAGAACAGAACAGTGGTCTTCAAGTCAATTCTTCAACACCCCTTTGGCCACGTAGTTAGTCTTGAGTCAAGGAGACCCACCCAACTCTGCCCTGATGCAATTTTCGGAACGGCCGGAGACCTGCATCCAGCAGCGCCCGGCGAAACCCGAAACGGGAGAAACGAGTGTTCTCTGAGTTGGGTTGGGGTTCGGGCGGCTCGATCCCCCCATGGAGATCTGATATGAATGTGAATCCCCCTATCGAACAGGATTTGCACCAACAACTCTACCCAAATAGAGACACCGCTTTATGTGTAGAGGTTACAGACCTCAGACCCAATAATGACGCAGCGGCGAACCCATTATTTTTTTATATTTCTTGTGTAAAGCACCACCTCATCTCCATGGCTCGTCCAAAGTTACTTATCTCATCTAAAGAAAAGGCGTGTTGAGCAGGTTCGTCCAAAGCTGGTCTGGCCTTCATCTCCTCAGCGGCAACCATCTTCATTCGACCTACTACACAGACCGGTGGGCTCGCAGGAGAGACCACGCGGGATTGCACGGGAAAAGATTTGCCCATGCTTCCAGAATTTTCGGAGTGTTCTTAAAAGTTCTGCTCAACTCGACGGCAAGCCAGGGAGTGATATCCTGTGTCTTCCACATCTCCTTTTTACAATGAAACACTCACAAACTGCAAGCACCAACAGCTCCAGCTCGAGGAATCTATCTTCAAATCTTGCTTCAGAAGCACTGGACAGCTTGGACGCTTTGTTCTTTCTTGCACTCAAAAGAACCTACAACATATCCTTCATCACATGATGAAGGTCCAGAGTCAGAAACTCTCACTCTCATCCCCCCGCACCTTCGCGAACAGTCCAGGTGGCATCGCTCAAATGCACAGCACGGGACGTCTGTAACTTGGCTTCAGGGCGCTTCTTGCTCTTGCTCTTGTTGATCATCCAGGATTTGCTCGGCTTGTGGTAGTAGAGGAACCTGACAGTCAGTCCACCGGAGTTGCTCGACAGTCAGTCAGATCACGCGGGCGCGCAGGCTAGAGAGAGGACTTGACTGATGAAGCCGAACCGATCCAGATCCGGAGAAATCTGGAACAATTGCCTTCGGAAAAGAAACACAACACCACACGATCAGAGCAATCCAAATCCAAAGGGGCGGCGAATGAACATGCAATGTGCACCCTCCCCTCCTGCACTCCGATTTTCGTGTATGTTTTTGCAGCAAATGTGAGAGACAATGCATCTCCCCAGCGCAACTTGAGACACATGTTGTTCAAAAGTGCTTGTGCCATTTTGTGCCCTTGTTTTTTGAGATTCACAGAAAAAAACACCCTTCACATAAAAGTTTTTGAGTGTTTTTTGGTTACTTTTTTACATGCCTCTTTGGCTTTAACATATGCCTCGTCTAGTCCTGTCCCAGATCTTTTTGACGAGCAATGTCTTCTCATAACGGTCAGCGCACATCATCCTCTTTTACAATAACTATAAAGGCCCATGAACATCCTGCTGTGATATCTTAAGTTATGAAGGTCCCATCCTTACAAATGTTGCCTTTCCTTTCAACATTTTTGTGAGGGCTCACCTTGTATCATGATATAGGTTCCTTTCAGCAGCTTAAAAATAAACAAGAGTATACACATTTCCTTCGCAAACACATTTCCCTTTGTAAAGTTGAATATTCCATTGGAGGAAACACCTCCATGAGTGGAACACACCTCATGTGCGGCCAAAAAAATGAGCAAACTGTATCTTAATGTATCTTATATGTTGTTGTGGAACGAGAAAGGGGAAGCACAACATGTGTTCATGACAAACAACTATATATCATTATATATCTCTATATATATATATCTAATTTCTAATGCATCTAGTCGCACCCTCTTTTTGATAAGCATGATGGCGTTTTGACCGCAAACAATTTCAGCTTGATTGAGCATCCTGCCATATCAAGAACATGTTCTTTACAGTTGAAAATACTGGGTCTCCCATTGGTTTGGGTGAGCGGCATGTTTAATGAAAACCGTAAATCTCAAATAGTTAATTTTGGTGTAAAGAACATAGGATTTTTACACATGTCATATATTCATGTCTACTGTTTCAATGATAAAGAACAGTCTTGTAAAGCATGTTCCTTCTGATCTTGCTTGGAAGATGCGTCATTTCAGTTACCACATTGAAACACGGAACCCCTTGCGTTTGAGGGAGCATCCTTCCACATTACACAAAGCATTCTACATATTTAGTGGGGCTCTCAAGACTTCATTGTCACCTTGCAAGGGAAAGCTATTCAAAAGAACTCAGGAAAAAATAAAACATATTACTGACTCTAGATGTTTAAAGGGCATGGAATCGGCCAACGGTGTGGCTGTCTCGAGTCTGGCTTAGAACATGAATTTACCGGCAGGAAAGCACCCTGACCGGCAGGACATTGGGGCATGGGTGTGGGTCTTGGCACCGGGTCACCTGGGTTGACCAGGAAAACAATGAACAGAATATAACAGAATAGGCTACCTGGCAGGCCAACCTACCAGGGTTTAGGGCTCCGGGTATTGACCTACTGCCATCTGCTTTGAATAGTTTTCAGGATCTCTCTTGGCCCTGGGGCCCCCCCTTGTCTTCCCCTCCTGTTCCAACCTCAGGTGAAGAACATCAAACTACAAATCACAAACACGACTCAAACCACGCATGCGCTTTTGTTCGCTACAAGTGACCAACAACACTAGTTCCGATGGATATTTCCAGGCGCCAGGCAATCTCAACATGGTGTGTGACGAACAGGAGATGATCCACAATTAGTCCCAACAAGTGGCCAAAAACATCCAAAAGCACTTGTACCCAAGGCGTGCTTCCAGTTGTTTGGATTGTGCTGGGCATATCTCAACATGGCGACAGAGCACGACGCAAGGCGCGGAGTCACAGAATGACTCACGACCAGTGAGAGATCGACGACCCCGCTGTTCGATTCACCCACACTGGGTAAGGCATGGCGAGGTCCGCGGCACCAGATGGTCAAGGCTCGAGGAAAGCTACACGCAGGTCGCAGGTCGTGAGGAAACCGTGCAATGTTTGCCGCATATTGAAAGGTCATAGAAAGAAAAAAAGGTCAATGACAAAAAAAAGGTCATAGAAAGAAAACTCAGAATGTCTGGCACTATTTCTACGACACTCTGGCACCTGAAGCGGCAGTGCAGCTGGTGGCCGTGGAGGGAAAAAGACCGCCCTGTTTGCCCACCGAAACAACTGACTCGGCTTGGTTGCTGGTGTCAAGGAATGGGGCAAAACTCCATCATCTCAGTCCCTACAGAGCTATCAGCCATCTGTCTGCGACGTGTGCGCTTTGACAACACATGTGCTCTCAAGTGTTGTCCTGTCATGTGTGCTCGCAGATGTGTGACGTGACGTGACACACGTTGATGTGTCAAAACCGCTCAGACGTCGGATACTTCCCAGTGTCCACTCGAAAAAGTGTATGTGCTTACATCTCAGTGCTATTGACTGGTTTGGTTATGTTTGCTATACCCCTGACATTTGGTTGAACGTACCAGGAAATCTGACCGACCATGCTAGGAAGGTTGGTCGCCCATAGCAGGAACATCTGATAGACCCTGCGCGGGGACGAGCAAACCTCGACCATGATGGGACATCTCCTGGCATGGTCTTGAAAACATCCCAGCGTGGTCTATGATTGCTCGACCCAAAAAACATGCTCCTGGACTCCCGGCATGAAAAGAACAGTGTTAAGGCATCTTAAGGATTGTTAAGGCATGCGGCAAGGGTTTCCTCTTGTCTGTTCAATCCTTGTGTCCTTGTGTCCTTAACACGCTCCTATATTCCAATACATCTTTGAACCCCTAACTTTCCACAACTTGCGTCACCTAAGTGGAACTTTTGGAGTCACTTGGTATACTTCTATTTCACTACCAATAACCTTGGAGTACACTTCTACATCGTTGGAGTCGAGCGATCGGTGTCCGAGCTACACCGATCGCTCGACTCCGTCGCAAGAAACTCCAACGACCCAACGAAATCGGCGAAATGCCAGGTTGGATTGGAAGTGATCTATACCTGAATCTTTGCTAAGAGGCTGAGAAAAGCAACCACCAGAGGTTTAAGGTATACATATTACTCTAAGAAATCCAATGGATCGGGGCCCTGATTGGTGAAAAAGGGAAGATCTACGGCAGTCCCCCATGGGCTGAACACACTCCAGTCCCCCATGGGCTTCCTGTAGAATCATCGACTCAACAGTGACCAACCGCGACCCGTGGGAACATGGATGAAGCATCGACCGGCTCAACATCCAATAAGCATCGCCTGTCGCTGATCTCGTCATCACCCACTTTCATAAAAACGGGCCTCCGCCCATAGGGTTTCTTCCTGGGAGATTCTGGACCGAAGTCGGTCGATACAACGACCGGACCTAGTCGATGATAAGCACGTGCGTCTCGGAACTTCTCGATCTGGTCAGTCTTTGGGATCGGACATCAAAATGATCCATGGCAAAACCCATCAACATCGGTAGGACTTCCTCATCGAAGGCACCAATGAATCGGGATCCGATCTCCGGGCCATCCGGTGCGCTTTTTTGCGCGGGGACAAAAGAACCGGAAAACGTCGTGTTTTTCGGTTTCCCAGCGTTGTGCCCACGTCAATTGTGTTTCCCAGGATCGGAAATCGGCTCCTAATGAACCACTGCGAGATCCTTTACAAGGCTCCTGGGAAGGCCGGAGCCTAATCCTTATAAGAATAGTCTCAGCACTCTTCTTTTCTTGCTCCATCTCACCAAAAGTTGTCCACTTCACCAGAAAGGTCTACATCACCATCACCCTCACCCTGGCTGAGTTACACCCGCCTGAGCTACACTGGACTGACTTGGGCAGCAAAAGAGCAACACTGTATCAAATCAAGAGCAACACTGTATCCACAGTTTCTTGGTAGTGGTGGTGTTTTTTGGAATTCCATTTTTGGTAGGTTTTCTATGGGCCTGATGATTTTCCCACCCCAACCCACCCAAACCCCAATCAACCCCCCAGACCGCCCTAGCCAAAACCAAATGGGCTGAGGTCAGGAATAACATCGAAACCCAACCTGACCATTTCAACCCTACAAACATCCCACAAAAACACACCATGTTACCGTGTTCCATGCCGTGTTTCTTTTCGCTGTTTCCGTGTCGTCCCAGAGAGGCAAAAACGTTCACCTCCGCTCCGGGCGGCTGCTGCACGTACTCGCCATTCAACTCCTCTGAGGGGCTCTGCTGGATCAAAAAGGTGAAGTCTCCAGCACCTGGGACAAGGGAACAAACAGGACCCAAACACCTGGACACAACTCAAGTCAAATGATTTGGGTCGAAAAAGGTCCTTGGAATGATGTTGGTGTGTTTTTCATGGAATGAACATATCACGGTGACATGCGGGGATCTCTTTTGATGGATTTCCATCACATGGATTTCCATCAGATGAGCTGACATCGGAGCCAGGGCGCGAAAGGACTTCCGAAGGCCTTTGGTCTTGAAGATCGACAAGTCCTGCGACGGATGGGTGATGATGGGTCGCTTGGGGACCGACGGATGAGGCGAATGAATGACACATGAAAAGACATGAAAGGCTTCTAAACACGCCCGACTCAAAGGAAACCAGATGAACTCATGGTTTTTTTCCGACTATTTTAGACACATGCGAGCATATGTGAACCATGAAACATTCAACGCTGCAGGTTTCAACACAACATCTGCAACCCCATCCGCTCCGATCAATCACAGTCCTCTGCAAAGAGCCAGCGCACAAACTCGCTGATCTGCAATTCACCTCAACAAATGGTGATCTGCATGGCCCCCTTTTGAGCCGATGTGAACTGACTATAGTAGAGATATATGATATCTCTATATATATATATATGTACACCTTGCAAAATCCTTTCCCTAGAATAGTAGGGTACAATATAGACATGCCAAATGGACAACACATCGGAGGTATACGGTATATATGTAGTTATTACAGTACTTCCAAGTGACTCAGTGACCGCTAAGCCGTTCGAAAAGAGCGACCGGCCCGATTCGGGTGGAACATGAAAACACATGGCGCCGTCATCTCTCGTGATGTACCAAAGGAGCCTCCATCATATGCTCAAACCCTCCAGGTTTGAGTGGACAAATTGACCCTCTCGGCACCAGAAATCAAGCACCCATGTCGTGATTGCCAGAGTGGGTTGTTCTTTGGCTGGATGGCTGGTGAGTCATCCTGGATGAATTACCTGGAGGTTTTCAGGATGGAGGATGGATTGTGCTCTACAAACATCTACAGTTCCATGGCTCCATTGGGTTCTCCATGGGTTCTCCAGTCAACATGCTCTTCCTTCCTGTCCATTGAGACTTGCGAAGCGTGTGCTTCATGTGGAATCTGCCTAGTCACCATCTCCGCTTTCGTCTGCCTGAGACAGAAGCTGGTCGATGGCAGAGTCATCCCAAGCATCCTCACCTGTTCAAAAGGTCGGGAGAAGAACGATCGGACCATACGCTGGTCAGCTGGTCACTAAGATAAACATATATATATATATATTACACTTAGACCTTCAAATATAGATCCTTAACCAATTTCCATGTCAGTTGCCCAAACGGCACTATTCCCCTTAGTTGATGGAATCTGCACAATTGTCAATTGTCTTGTTTTTAGATGTTCTATTTCCAAGCTGAAACCAGGACCTCAACTGCCCAGGTCACTCAACTGCCCAGGTCACTCAAGGATTTCAGCACTTCGCCCAACTCCTCCCTGCTGATGCTGCCTCAGTTCCAGGCGTGTCAGGACCAATTCCCAACATGTCTCACTCCTACAGTTTGCTTCGGACTCCACGTCAAACGGCTCAAGGGTTCTAACGGTTTTGACCAATTCCCACCCTGACCGGGTGGGGCCCGTCAACCTGTCGAACACATGTCGATTCACGCACACATCCATGTCTTGATGGTCTGAAACAGACCATATCAAGTACATGAACTACATGGAATGTGTTCATGAACTCCCGGAAATCATCATGGTGGAAGTGGATGGCATGGCGCCAGGATATCTTGGACGGCCAACATCTCATGATTTTGCACAGGTGGTGTTCAGTTCCACTTCCGACTCGGAGACTGACACCCCAGCCGTTTTTTGAACGTATACCCGAGGTTAACCTTTTTCAATCGGTTCATATTTCGTGGAGAAACCCACCCCCAAAACAGGTTAAAACAATTATCCACTGACGGGGTAGGGAGAGTAACTCAATCCGTTTGGTCCTCCGAGCCAGTGCCCAGTGCCTGAATCATCTGTGTCAAACTCCTTGAATGCAGCGAGCACCGCCGACTCTGCCGCCATCGGTACTGCTGAGACTGCAAAATGCTGCGGTGGCGGTGCAACCGAACAGATCCACCGACTCTTCAGGTCTTGTTCGGTCCGAGGGCCCGAGGCTTGGCCTTGGCCTGACTCTAGAGGTCTGAAGAGTCTGAACTGCTGGACCTATTGGAGGGTGCAAGGGATTGAACTAACAAGGAGGGAAGAAACAAAAACCCAGACACTCCCTAAAGCCTCATGGAAGTGAATGGCATTCGCCTTGGATGACCATTTTCCTCCAAGAGGTGGCTTTCTACTTCCAGTGTAATCGATCTAGGACATATCACGTGAATCATGTGAAGCATCGGAAAGAAAAGGACTCCCAGAAAATATGCTTGATTTCTTGATGGATCTTCCCAAGAACCGGAAGAAACTTGAGTCAACTGCCATGAAACAGAAGAACCAACAATTGACAATGACTTCGCCACTCCTTCCCCCAAGAACCAACCAAGGAGCCAGGTCTAATCCCACCAAGACCAACCCCTTTCCAGGCCCTCCTTTGCCCGGGTCCTCTATTCAAGTTGGATCTTCATGTCTGAGTCCGCACCCGCGACACGCGGTGGGGTCAGCGGATGGGTGGCGCAAAGGCGGCACAAGATCTTTTGTTTGAGAAAAAGCACCTTGCTAAAAGCACGTCACCTCTCTCGTTCTGCGACAAGTATCTCCAGGTATCAAGTAGATCCCCCAAACAATAAAACATCTACAGTCATGGGAGTCCGCCAACGTCGCACCGCCCAGGAGATCCCAACCGGAGTTCGCCACCTGGTTGGAGGGAGACATTCACCGGTGTGAAACATGTCCTTCCTAATGCTCATATGGCTCCTGCAAATAAGGCCCATAGGGTTGTGTCAACCACTTAGCAGAACTCTGATGGTGGTCACAACAATTGTTGACATCGACCTGGTTCTCTGAGCCCGCCAGGATAGCATCAGTGGACCAGTGGACCAGGGTGGATGCTCAGACTGAGACATAAACATAAACAAACACACCGTTGGAATCGCTGCTAACACACCCCAGCTATCCAGCGGCAAATGCGGGGGTCAATGCATTCATCCAAACGGTGCGCTAGACTTGGTTGTTCTTAGTGGAAAATGGATTTTGCCAAACCCCTTCGATGGACCAGGCCTTTCAGTTCTTTGGCCCCCCAAGAGCCTTTTTCGCTTCCGCGATAAGGCCTCGGCAGAATTGGTCCATGTTAAAAACAAACACCACCAACAACAACAACAAAAGAAAACAATACAAACACATCAAAAACAATCGAAGGATTTGGACACTTGGGCATTCCTATAGCTTCCGGGGATTTCCGAACCAATTCTTGGACCCCCAACGACCTTGGTTCGGCAAACTTGTTTCCCACATTCCCACATCACCGCCTCTGGGCGACTCCAACTCTAAATCCTTAGAAACCTTAGAAACCATCATGGTTACATGGAGCTAAAACCACCTATACGGTCCTGAGCATTTCAGGGTCCTCCGAAATCTGGGCCATGCCCATCGACCTCCATGATACTTCCAGCAAGTGTCATCAACCGAAGCATCGGTGTGAACTCTCCCTTGGAACAACCAGCAAATTGTTTGGGTTTGCGCTTCTCTCGGGTGATTTGGTCATGACAATTTCCTGTCAAACTCGAAAACAACCTTGGTGTGAAATCTCCATGCCTTCGACGGTGGAAACTTGGATCATTCTTTGAGGTCAAAACGAAAGACCTCAAAGCAGGAGTGTTTTTTGAGGGTTAAAGACGGCCGACCCTATTCATAATTAGAGGAGAGCAGTCGGATTTCAAAATGGAAATGGGCCATGCAGTTTTTTTAAATGTTGTTGCGACATATTTTTCCATAACACGGTGTTGTTTCCGCCATGGCCGGAGGAAGGAGTTCCGCAACATGCCCCGTTACGCGACACGGCAAGTCGAAGCCAGTTTTGGAGGCCAAAACGCTAAACATCCAGATTCAGCCAGCTCGCAAGGGGTATGGCAAGAGGAGGACTTTGATCATCACGTATAGACCCGGTGACCGGGTCTGTGGCGGGTGAAAATTTGTTGCATCTTGGTTGCATATGTTGTATTTGCCGCTCCCAGGAGCCGGAAGAACATTCAAGACATCCCAGGTTTGCGGAAAAGAAACGTCGCCCGTCGCCCGACAATGATCACGCTCACCCAGATATTCCCACGCATCATTGAAGTCCAGGAGCCGAGCCCCCTCTCCGTCCGGATCGACCTTCATGTGCTGAGCAACTCCTTCTCTGAGTGACCCTTGTTCGCTCCTGGACGCAAAAACATGGGCGTGACTGTTATATAGTCCATGGGGCAACGGCAACCCCTGCAAGACCCTTGGTCATGGTCGATCTGTTTTTTGGGGTTGGACCCGCAGCATTTTGAGACAGTTTGTCATGGCTGAAGGATTGGGAGGAGACGGAGGAGGTGTCTGGCAGTTCACATTGACTGTCTAGTTGGCCTAAACCAAATTCTGTTTTTAGGTCTTAAGGACGCTTCTTCGGAGTGTCGTAAGAACTTACACCGCGACACCGAACTTCCTTCAGTGCCAGAAACTCACCCCAAGTGCTTTCCTGCATGGAAACGCAGCCCCAGATGCTGAACGCAGGACGAGTCATAGCACCCAGAACTGCACAACACCATGTAACCGCAATTCACCACAATATCTTGCACCATACACAAATACACCCAAAACCATAATGTTTCGCCTATTAATCACCGTGTAGACGCACCATTCAGTTGTCATGCAGGCAGATGATCGCCTGATGTAAACCGGCATGGATCTGCAATGCTGAAGCGTATGGACTTTTTCCTTCCTTCTTGAAATCTTACTTCTTGTGACTTGTGAACCTTCTGGAACCGCTTGGCCCCGTTGGCCTGCCAAGCCGACAACCAAGCATTCCTGCCAGCTGTCGAGTTCAGCGTGTTCTTTTGGATCACGCTCTTATTGAAATTTTCCCACAAGGTTTGCTTCTTGGAAGTTTGAGCTTCCACATAGAACTCCGCCACCTTGATAATGTCTTTGCATCTCATTTTGCTAAAGCAATGTCTGTGGCCAAGTCATGCTCAAGGACGCCAGCTGGCGGTACATGTGGTCTCGCCCTTCCACGTTCAGCACTCTGTCACTGTGTTTCAGAAACCGCAGCGAATTCCTGCAGAAGAGTATATAGATCCTTTTTTGATGTTCTCTTGTCTGGGCCATCCAAGTGCGCCTGCACACGGGCATGCCACTATAAACCCTCCGTCCCGGCCGCATTTGCGCGCAGAACAGCATGAGCCAGGCCTTTTTTGGACTCCAAGACTGCCGTTTGGCACAACCGTCTTGAGCAGAACAACATGGGCCAAGGCTGTGGTGAGGCGTTGTCTTTCTGGGCCTCCACCCTCGCGGCAGCCTTTTGCGGTGCGATTTTCTGCGTGGAATTAGATTGGTCAATAGCGTGGCGAACCCGTCTCTTGTTTTGGGGCTCCAAGACTGCCGTTTGGCGCAGAACAACATGGGCCACGGCTGTGGCGAGGGGTCCTCTTTGAGGGCTCTGGCTGTGGCCTTGTCAACTTTACCGTGACTTGCCAACCTGGTTTTACTGCTGTTTTTGGGGATTTGCTTTCTTACGTGGACCATTTGGCTGTCGGGCAAGTTCGCCCGCCTCTGGGTGGGCAGCACCCGGGCGTTAGCCCATTCTAATATGCTTGACATTCGACTCCCTGCCAGCGATTCCTGATCCTCATGAACACCAACCTGCTTCAGGATATACGTGATCTCAACCTGAAACCTCAACCAGGTTGCTTCAGTTCAATCATCTTCTTTTGTCATCTGTCTCTGCTTCTTCACAGCTCCAATCGATCGCCCCACCCGATCGCCCAGGCCGTCCTCGCAGCGGTTTGGGCGCCCAGTGAGGCCAAGCACCACCGTCTCGGCCGCTCGAGCCGTTGACCGAACAGGGGCGAGGTTCCCGAGTTTCCGCGAGTTTCCGATGATCCTCCGAAGTCCGGTTTAACAACGCCAAACTGGACGTCGACGTCCGATGACGATCTTCTTTAGGGATCCAGGTCGTACCGAACCTCGGAAGACGGAGACGGCCTCCGACCGTCTGTCAAGACACCCGACCCGACCCTCAGTTTTTTTGGTTCGAAAGTAGAGGTTGACCAGTTCCTCCACCTGTTCCTATTTAGTGGAGAAAGCAGTTCCCCCAAAAAGGCTTTACAGGTTCTATGCACTTTTCCTGGATAGAGGCTCCTTCATGATCTTCGGGACTAAGTCTTGAAGGTCACAGTCCATGACCCGAAGTCTTTCAAAACACAGGGAGCAAGCATATCGCTGAGCGGCAAGTAAAGCAATTCAACAAGTGACTTGAAACAATGATAGGCTTTTCTGGTGGTGGTGGGAAGTGTTTCTCGGCAGAGAAACATGTTTTTTTGCTTGGATTCTACATGATTCTACTCCGCAAAGTTTGGACATCTCTTGTCAAGACCAAGGTAAGGAGGTCAGCAGTGCCCCAAAGATAGTTCAGCAGAAGGAGGTCAGCAGTGCCCCCAAAGATAGTTCAGCAGAAGGACAAAGCGGAAGCGGCTTTATGCTCAAGTCTGTTCGTTGATGCGGGGTACTCTGGTAGGTCATTATACAATACATTCGTAGGGATCCATTGCCACTTCTGTGCCTATGTAAGAGTGTCCAACACATAACCGTCTTAGATAGTATGTGGATTCATAATCCATGGGGCATACATAATTTCAAGTTAGCCGCGCTGCACACCAACAGGGACATTGCCAAGACACGCAACTCTTGCAGCATCGAGGTCTGGCAAGTGAGTCCGAGAAAAGTCACGCAGCGGTCTAATACAGTGGCATCAGAGCAAACGACACAATCACCAAAAGGAGTGGGCCCCCATCTAAGAGACATGTTGGGGTCTGCGCCATCTACTCTGAAACCTCTGTAAGTATCTCGTTTGGTGACAGGAACCAGGAGTTATCCTGTGTATCCTGCGTTATCATATCCCAATGGATCCAAATACCTTCTCAGCTACTTGGACCCTCCAAACCTAACAAAAGAGTGCCACGAACAGGTACGTGCCCAAATCACCTTCTCCGAGGACTTGGGGATCCATAGAGTAAAGACAATTGGTGGAATCTTGTTTCACGTGTGTATACTGATGCCCATGTCTCTGAAACCGGGCTGGAGAGCTCACTTCATGTACAAGTGAATCCAACCGAGTGGATTGCGCAGATTGGCTGGTCACCTCTCCAAATTGGTGGCCCTCAAAAACGTGCGACCTCGCTCCGTAAAAACCGCAGTTCGAAACCCTTCCGACTCCTAAGGAGGTGTAGGGCTCAACCTGTCTCGCCTGTGTGAAAGGCTCTTGGATGCAGGTTCAACCGATGCAACTTTCTAATCGGTTGTGCAACTCTTTGGGGCTGGGTTTCTTCCTAGTCTCTGGCCAAGGATCTTTAAGGTCACTCTCCTGGAGAATGGAACAATCCAAATAACTGTGACATCAAATATGTAGGGAACCTACGTCTTGCAAACGCAAAGCAAGAATAAACCTCGGAACCTCGCTGAACTCCCGGCAACTCCCTGCATCCCTGTCATTCTGTCCAGTTCGGGGTCTCCTTCCTTCCATCAAGCAAGTGTCCATGTGGATGTCTAAAATAGGGAGACCCCGTAGTTCGACCCCCTGGAAGCAGGAAAGTTGACCAGTCTACCATTGTCTATACCCATTGGTTGGGGGATGGTCCTTATCAACGTACACACCCCATGTGTTCTCCACTACGGCGGGTAGTTGGGCCCTCAGGCCGCTCGTTGGTTCTGGTAGAACACCAGCTGCCCACGCACCTGGAGGAAACTGTTGGTGGAAAAACAGCGATGTGATCTTCGTATGACATCGAACAGTGTCCAATTCAGACTGTAACTACAAGTGATCGTGCTTTGAGAGTTGTCACGGCAAAACTGAGACCAGACTGATCATCTGCCATAGAAATACATGACATGCGTTCTTCTCCACTGGGGTCCTTAGCTCCTGATGCTCCTGTTTTCTTGGGTGTATTGTATACAGTATCAACCGCAGTCCATCAGGCCTCCTCCACGGCTGCCTGCATGACACCTGGCAAACCATGGATATGACTCCATGGTCGGTATCAGTTTGCAGTCTCCGAGATCCTTGCAGCGCAAGTTCATTTACAGAAAAAACAGAGAGCATTCTGGCTAAAGAAAAGCCTCAGGAGTTTGCTAAACGTATATTGCACATTTTCAGAACTGTGCTTGCGCTTGCTTGCAAAGAGGCCCACCCCTTTTTCAGTGTAAGCGCAATAGCTTACCGACTGTTACATGTATCGGGACAGACCCAACATGTACACATGCATTGTATTTTCTTCGATCATATATGCCAAACTATACACTACATACTCCTCACATTCCTCACATTGGTTGCGGGGAATGAGATTGAAGGGATCAAACCGGTTACCTATCTTTGTGTGAAGATCCTTCGGCACGCCTGTGTCAGGAACCGAAAAAGCGGTATTGACAAAGGCAGTCCTGCGCAGAAAGTCTGGACGGACGAGCAGAGAGGAAGACAGAGCCCAGACAGGCCCTATGGATCCACATACCGAACCTGAGGTACAGTGATTGGATGCTATTTAAGCACCAGGCTCCAATGACCTTCGTTTCGAAGGTGGCAGTGGATCCATAGGAGGGAATTAGCATGAAACCCTGCAGACTGGCAGACGGATCACATGGAAACCAGAATTGACCGGTTTCGACGCATGGAAACCGAATGCAACATGGTGGTTGAAAGGGGGTCCATGTGGTCCTCTCCAGGAGGGTATATGTGGACTAAAGGTTCACTTGCTGACCAAGGAAGTTGAAGGAAATGCTCAGGAACCTTGCCGACCAAGTCCGTGTTCGTATAGTCCGTAGACTGGAGGGATATTTGATCTACCATGTGGTGCAAAGGTCTATAATGGATCTGAATTTCTCGTGTTTTATATCAACATTTCAAGAGATCTTCTTGAAGCTTCAAGAAACAAAAGTAAACCAATTGTAAAAACACATCTGTTTTGCCACTTCCACTATCGAATATATCGAATCACACAACACAACCAACGGTGATCACCAAAGGGAGGAGGAAGTCATTTGCACGGCAGGGCTAGACGCAAGTTCCCATGGTTCGGCTGAAATGCGTGACAAAGTGTCTCGGCGCAGTTCTCAGATTCATCGAAGCAGGACATCCCAAGAAGTGGAGAAAGTGGCCCCGTGACTGACCCCGTGCTGTCTCCTTCTCACTGATCACTCATGGCTCTTTATCCAGGTTCCGCTGCTTGCCAAAAAGTTCACTTGAAAATAAGGACCAACATCATCAAAAACAAAACAACATAACTCATCCACCAGATCCACCATGATCCACCCACTCATCTCCGTGCTTCCTTCCCAACAATCTAAAAGCCGCGAAACCAAAAAAAACAAAAGGCGCGCAGGCTACCTGGGCGCCTTCTGAAAGCGCCTTCCCAAGCGCCTTCTGCTACTCTTTTCTTCTATTCCGGGCTAAAGCTTCGTAGCATCTCGGGAATCTGAGCCTTGGGACCCACCCCCAACCCGATGTTCCATCGACCACTGAACCCTCCGATGGAATCGAACCGGGCCGGTTCGATGAACCGGATACCGTTCGGCGAGCGACCGACCTGGGGCGGCGCCTCACCGACCTGTGGTTGGGATCGAAGGCCACCGACCTGTAGAAGGTCCTAGTCCACATGGTATATGCTTATCATGGCTTAACGGTTTAACGGTAGTTTTACATGTGTGAACAAAAGACATGGAGCGCCGAACAAACACCTCAAGGTAAGTCTCACCGACCTGTGCTTGATGTTCGTTCTTTCTTGTCTTCGTACCGTGGTGTGCCACCTCAAATGAGTGCACCCTTCTTCTTCGTGGGGCTTCTGGGCTTCCCTCCATCCATGCCAAGGTCTCAAATGAATTCTTTTCGGTGACATCATCATTCCGATCAGGTACTAAGGTACTAGGTATCCTGTTAGCAATCCAACATTCCTGATTTGGTGGAAATAGCGAAGTAGGATGAAATAGGTGCCACCTGCATATGCTTGCCAGTGGCCACTCGTGAGGCTTGCAGTGTGGCTGTGCCAGTTGGAAGAATGCAAGATTTTTTTTTGCAATTAAATTGTACTTATTTCTTCGGTTGCTCACACATGTTTCTACGGCTCCATTTTGTTTGTTTGATATGCTTTGATTATATGTTTGATTCATCCTTGTGACGCCCTCAGCTCCCATTCCACGCAAATGTGGGTTGAATCTTCAGTTTATGTCCGTCCCAGTCGATCCTGAACAATGGGCCACAAGCGAGAAAAAGCTGCTTCATCTGCTAATTGAAGCACACCACAGGGAAAAAGAAGTCTCGAAAGTGGGGTGTTCATGTTAGTCAGCTGCTATAGACTTTTTGTGGAATACAAATTCTTACGGCGGACAGCATCGCTGCCCGGGGGATTCCTTCGGTTTCTCCACCCATGGAGCTGGAGGGATTTCTCGGTCCGTCGTCCGGACGTGCACGTGACGCGCACGCGCATGACGCGCGTGGCGGTGCGGTGCCGAGAAGCTGGATCTATCTCGGATTCTGAGACAGCCACCTGAGACAGCATCCATCCATGCCATACCCCGGGCTCTATAAGTACCTTCTAAGAAGGTGTTTGAGGTGGGTGGGTTTGGAGGGTCCAGTCATACCTTCTGAGGAGGTACTTGGACGACTTGGAGGCCTATAGGGAAAATGAAGTGATGGAGGTTTTTGTCAAAGCCCAAGGAGGAGCCGGGAAAATTCCGTGGAACAGCTGAAACCGCTTTGAAGGAACTCCACCTGTTCTTCTCGCCGAGAGAAGGTTAACATCAATTGTGTCCGAAATGAATTCCCCACAGATAAGGATGATTAAACATGTTATACTCTGTAGACTGAATAGATTCAAACGATCAAGCTTGGTGAAGGGTTGGAGGGGGGTGAGGATGGTGAAGCTCGCCCCCGTTTTTCAGTTCCCAGTTCGGCATGTCCTTCCTCAGACCGTTCGATTGTTTTTTTGTTCGACCAGTCACAGGACCGACCGGTCACGACCGGTGCGTACTGAGGAGACTCAAACTGACGCTCTCTTCTTGCGATTTCGTGAGTTTGGGGGATCCTTCAGCCCATCAAACTCCCCCCCACTCCTAACACACCCGCCCTTCCACTCATGCCACTCCATCCCTCCCTGGTCATGCCTGCTGCCCCGGCACGTGTGGTTTCACCCACCGCGTCTGAACCACCATCCGAAAGCGAGTTCACCATCGCTTTTTTCACCGTCCGAGAAACAGGGTGGGTGGGTCGGAGGGTGCGCCCGCCGATGTGCTTGAATTTGAAGGAGGCCCATGCGAAGGCCTCGGGACATGGAACGGGATCCACCGTGAGTGTGCGACCGGTGTCGGAAGACGTGCGGTGTTGACAGACCAGTTGAGCAATTCTCTTTTTCAGGTCCGACATGTTCATGAGGGACACCAGCTGTATAGCATCCCATGAGGGACACAGGGACACAAAGAACCACACCGTTGATAGAGTTGCTGATCAACTCTGCTTCTTGTTACTAGTAGCTACTTGCTCCGTTGGTAGCGTCCGATCGCTCCGTTCGTAGCGATGCCAGGAGCCCCGTTCGTAGCGAACCTTGTTACTGTTCCCCGAAGAATCCTCCTGGAACCATGTGACAACTCCCAGGATCGCTGGGGAACCTTTGTAGATTGAGTGTTGCCGGGGGCTCTTGGTTGATCGTACTACGTATACCGTAGCACTCGCAACAAGAATTCGGCAGTCACAAAAAGACTCGTGGGTCACTCTCCACTGTTGAGTCAACAGTAACAATATTTCCTCCACACCTCAAAGGACACAACTCACATTGATCAAACAATGGGATCAATTAAACACAAACAACATCACACAACCAGATTCCTCAACAAACTAATGGCAATTCCACAGATTTACGTTTTCCCCCGTTCCCTTCAACGAAACATCGTCACCGTCCCCACACACACAAACTCTGCGCGACGCCCCCACACACCTTTCGAACCTGCGCGACGCCCCCTCCTTTCGGAACCGAGACACGACGATGCAAGCGATGTTCACCAGGTAGAGATAGACCGAGAACTCTCCAATCCTGATGTCAACATGCTCCGTCCAATCGGGACGCGTCCTTCGCTTGTAAGGCCAGTCCCATAAGGCCAGCCTTCGTAGCTTCCTAGAAGTAAGAATGCTCCTTGATCTCCTTGCTACTAGATCCGCCGACCCCAGCCGATGGGGGAGGGCGCCAGAGAATATTACCATTATGTCAACATATGTCAACAGGTTTTTACATCCTCCGTGGCCTGGGAGGTCGCTGCCGCGACCTAAACCGTCCATGACGGCCCTGATCCAGATTGGGCGAATGGACCGGGAAAGAATTGAACACCGTCCCCAGTGTTGAGGATTGAACGTACCCATGAACAAAGACGAACATGACACAAGTCAAAACCCGCGACTTATGTCCCTAAAAGGACCGTGCCTGATGCGCAAGAACTCAGCATTCCCTGTGAAAGGCCCTTTTTGAGTGTGAGAAGTGGATTCAATGGTTGAAACACATTGAGAAACAATGATCAACATCAGTTTCATTGAATTGCACCGAGCCAGTATTCATCTCATGTTGCCGTGATTTTCAGTTTGCTCTGACTTTGTTTCATGTTGTTTTTGTTGTTTTTGCTTTTCAATCGTAACAACAACAGCACCAGCAGCAGCGGCAGCAGCAGCAGCAACAGCAAGAACAAGCACAAGAACAAGAACAGCACACAACAACATGCATTCCTCTACAGTTCCTCACGTGTCCGTGTGTTTCAATGATTTGCTATGACTACCTCATGTTATGTATACTATCACGTTCAACGTTCTCCATTTTGTCTAGTGCTTGTTCATATCCTTTCGGTGCTTTCAACTTGTTTGAACCTGGGCGTGGTCCCTGAAACATTGCCTCTCTTGTCGAAAAGTCTCTCCATTTGCACATGCCTTAGCTTTCTGCTTTCCACTCCTCAAGCGGAACACAAGCATGCAGCATGCCAAAACGGATCTTCCCTCCGTGGACCGCCCCCGGAACGGCGCAGGAGCTTTTCTTGGTGTCACGATGAGAGAGAAATCCGGAGGCCATGAAGCAGCGAGGCTATGACTGGCATATGGTCTTGACTGTGTGGCCTTGACCGCCTGGACGGGTCAATGACCCCCGGTATACGTCCACCAGGACAGCGTGACGACCGGCTCGCGGAGGTGCAGTACGTCAGACAGCCACACCTGCGACCAAACAGGCCGCAAGCACCACGACTTGAGCACTGCATGGGCTGTCGCTCATCGGATGAGATTGGATGGCACCAGAGGTGGTGATTGCATGCCCGGTGGACACCCCACGTGTGCTTCTTTCTAGCTGGTTTTGTACTTGCCACACTGGAACGTCCGAAGATCCCTATGTTTGGCCACGCTCCACGACCTCTGAGAAGTA